GAAAGCAAAAGCCGTCTACATCATTGTTATGTCTATACCGCATGGGGAAAGCTTGTGGCGCTCCTGTGGTCTTTTTGGTCAATCGCTGTCGCGATAGAATGATCGAAATGCATCGCAATAAACCAAACACATGACGCGGGATAGCCCTTCCCAAGTCCAGAAAACTCCCAAAAAGTCCGTGTTCCCACGCCCTACCCCCAGTCCAGACCGATCTTACAGGCGGTGCGACCGCTTCCGACACCCCGGCCGTGCTCCAAACCACCAAAAAAAACACCCGTAGACAAACACATCCGAGGGAAAGGAAACCCCCAGGGAGAGGAAAACGCAAAGGCAAGTGGCTGTGCAATCATGAAGGAGATTTCGCGAGGACAGTTGGTGAGAAGCATCAGACCATCCACAAACCTTGGACGGTTTGGCTGGCAAGAACCTTGGAATACTTTTCCCAAGGGGCGGTTCGTATGTTCCATTCGAGCGTTGAAAGCAAAACCCGAGGATTGCAAGTCTTGAGGGTGGACATTTTCCCCTAAGTTGCTATGAATTGAAGATTCTTTCTCCGTCCGGTCCATAGCTCCCCATTGGAATGAAGTCGCGAATGCAGTCGACGGAGACGGGGGTTCCAAAAAAGGGAACTGGACATCGCTGAACCTTGATTTTTGACGAACCCTTGGGCTGAAACCCCTTCCCTCACGGACGGCTATGTGGCGCGAAGCCGCCAAATGCCAAACGGGCTCCGAACTCTGGACCGTTTGGCGTCGCCATCGGCATGGTCATCGACGAGCGAAGCCGATTCCTGCCAGTCATAGGGCAGAACAGCAACATCGGAGCCAAGTTACTGTAAAGGATTGTACTGTAAAGGATTTGTGCCATTGGCTCTGATAAAAACAAGGGTACCATGTTATAAACACTATGGTGAAAAACAATGGTACTGGTACTGGATTTTCTACCAGCTCTTGGCCGTAGCCCAGGCTCTTGGCGGTCGCTCATCCAGTCAGGTCTACCGAGCTTTTGGCATGGATGCCAAAAGCAAAAGAAGAACAAACAACTTGGCGACCGGAGATTCTCATAGAGATAATATCTGAATCTCGATGATCTTACATCTTACATCCGAATCTCTTAAACATATCTCCCGTCACCAACATAAAGCGACCACATGTGGCGCATGGCGAGGCATCCAGAGGCAAAGGCCCCTCTAGCAGCCCCGAGTCGGAATACATATACCAAAGTTGAAATCAACCACATGAGGTCATATTCCATTGCCCGCTGATTTGTTTAAACAGGTAATCAATGGAAAACAAACCATGCAGGTGGAACATTTTTTAGCTGGTCCATCTGCTTCCATCAGCTGGCCAGCTAGCCGGGCCGCCAGTCCTGCTGGCGCCCTGACCACACCACCGCCCAGTCGCCGGTGAATGAACAACAGCAAGTCGCTGGTTGTTGTGGTTCCCTGTCATGATGACCGGCCCCTCCTCGCGAGTCAGCTGCACACATCTGGCACACATCGCAAGCCCCAGTGAACCCAAAAAACACCACCCACCTATCGCCAGTCATAGAATCGAAGTCAGAACCTCCACTGATGTCACGGAGTCTGACCTAGTTACAACCAAAGACCTCCCCAAAGTCGACCTGACCCAATTCATGCATGGAAAAATTGCATCGGACTGAATTCATCCGCCCAAAAACCATTCTCTCCAGCATGCCGAAGAGCTCTGGAAATCGGGCTCCTTCGAATGTGAAAAGAAAAAAAGCCCTTTTTCCAACCGGCCCCCCCCCGGAACCCCCCGGCTCCCGGACCGGCATGGACGGAACTCGCTAACCCGACCCGTCCTTCGGGAGGTGCTCTAAGCCGACGATCTCCACAGAGCTAAAGAAGATGTTATTGAAGGTACACCGAAAGAAGGTCCTCACCGATGAGAAAGGAGCCGAGGCACTTGTTACACATGGCGTTGTTGGGTTTTTGGGGTTTCGGGGATGTGGGAGTTGAACAAACAAAGGTCCATAGATCGGTGCTGAGAACAACAAGGTCCGAAGATCGGTGGTGAAACACCACTCAAGACGGACTTCTTTCGAAAGAAGTGGCCCGGACCAAAGGCGCAAAACATCGAGTGGAATTCCTGTAACTTATAGTAAGTAGACTAAAACAAGTAAGTTCTACCGTAACCCCCTAGTGTCTCCACGCTGCTTTGACGACAAGAACCACGGTCGCCACAAAAACACGTTCCGATTACGTCTCTCGACGGGTGTCGCGTGTCCTGGCGCAGGTGTAAAGGATGTGATCGCGTTGATTCACACCCAAAGCCGTCAGAAGGATTGCCGCCGCGATGGTAAAATGCCCCTGCGGCGTCTACTGGTGCGTGCTTTCTACTCTAGAACACTCTGACTCACTAAGATTGGAAGTGGAACAACCCTTCAAAGACCATGTGCTTTCTCGAAACCTTGTGGGCGCCACCACGTCCATCTTGCAGGTAGTCCCAGATACCAACAGTTATATAGATTATATAGCTGGGAAAGGGGAGTCTCGCCGATGCTGGGTCCTGTGGGACTGATTTTTACCAGCAAGCACCCCACATCCGTGGGGGAGCTGCGAGGTGCAAGGATAACGTGACCGCGCAAGAAACGGTATGTTTGGTGTGAGGATTGTGATGATATACAGTTACACCCTGGAAGAGGTCTACATGAAACCTGACAAACAATTAGGGTTATAGAGGAAAAAAACGCCTTCCAGTCTGGTCCACTGTCAGCTTTCATGTTAATCTTCCCGCCAGGACTTGATACTATTCACGGTTCCCAAGAAGGATGCGAGATGCCACGAAAAGGCCTGATCTTCTTGACAGTTGGGTATAGCCTAGTGAGGGCCTAGTGGTTGCTCCACGCAACTCACCAATTGATTTCAACCAACTCCGTCCCAAACGGCGACCGGCAAACATCCGCCGACCCCGCTCTAGGACCAAGAGCCTCCTGAGGATTAGTTCGGTATATGTATGGCCGGCCCTGGGGCTTGGCAATCAACCATCGCCTTGCGAGAAATTGCCAGATTTTGGCCAAATTTTCGGCATTTCCCCTGAGGGTTTTAGAACTCTGCAGCGCGCGGGGGACCTGTCTCCTGTCCTCCTGATGTCTCCTGTTCCTGCCTCCTCCTCTCTTCCTCCCCTGCTCCTCCTCTCCTCTTTTTTTGGTGAGCCTTCAAAGGCGTCCAACTCCTTACCGCATCACACGTTCCCTGCCCGCGGCCGCTCTGGGGTTATGGGTTTCGAAGGATCACCATAAAAGCAGGGGCACCCGCATGGCATCAACATGCATACTTTCAAGGGCCAGTGGCGCGAGATATGCTGCCCGAGTGGTTTTGCATTATCAGCATTTTGTACTGTTGGTTGCTTCTGCTTCTCCTCTTCCAAACAAAGAGCAACAACGACAACAAGAATGACAATCACAACCACAACAGTAGCAAAAAAACAAAACAAAGAGGCAACAACAACAACCGCAACAACCACAACCACAACCACAAGCACAACCAACAACTAACAACCAACAACAACAACAACAACAACAACAACCACAACCACAACAACAACAACAACAACAACTGATGCTGCTGCTGCTGCTGCCTCTGCTGCCACTGAAATACATCATTGAAAATTGATATCAATTTTGAGGACATATTTTGGTTGAGCATCATTAGCATCAGCAGAGTCTCAGCAGGAAAGATGCAAATTTCGGGGCTCGGGAGGATGCTTTGAGGGGTTGGTTTGGTGTATGACTGGGAGCAACAGTGTTTTTGTAAAAATGTATGTATTTTATGAACAAACGGCCTTGGGGCTACAGTGTAGGCTTTACAAAGTCCTGACTGCGATATTAAGCTTATATTCGCGACTTTTTGAAAAAAGCCATATAATAAGCCTACGTGGTGCTAGAAATGTAGTCCGCAAACGGACATTTGAACATCACCAGGACGTGTGAATTTACTTGAAAAAAGGTCAAAAACATGTCAAAAAATGGCGACTGTACAGCTTTATCTCTAGAGAAGAAAATACGCAAAAGGTAGCATTTGTGTCGAGCATTATTGGCATCACCAGAATACGAGCAGCATTGTTGACACAAAGGCTAAATTCCTTAGGGGGCTTGGAGGGCGCTCTCAGGATTTTGTTTGGTTTACGGCTAAGCACAAAACACTGTAAATTACAGTGTTTCGGGTGAGTTTGTGCAGTTTATTGGATACTTGTCAATGAAAGTGGAGAGCTTTGGAGAGAAAGCACTTTTTCATGTTCGAGATGACAACCCCTGGGAGAGACAGTATGCAAGACGGCTTCGAGATGGCTTTGGGTGAGACTGGTGAAGCTCCGAGAATGTTGGTGATGCTTGATGCTGCTAGCAGGTGATGCTGATCATGTTGGGTCCTTGTTGGAACTGAGAAGCTAGGCGAAAAATTATGTAAAGTCCTAATGTTTTTCAGAGTTCGAGTGAAAAAAGGCAGCATGCAAGGGGACAAAAACAGCGCAAACTTAACTAGGGCGGTTCTTTTCGGAATGGCGTATTTTGGCGTGGAAAACACTGCAATAGATAGACTCTATTTTTCAGCATTTTCTAGCCTAAACCTATCTGTGATTACAGGGTTCGCTGACGCAAAGGTGGCTCCAACTTCGCCCATTAGGTGTGCCCGCACCCGAGCCCGCGCCCGCGTGCGTGTGCTTTCGTGTGCGGGTGCACATTTGCGTACGTATGCCTGAAGTTGAGGTTGCCAGGCTTTTAGTAGATGGGTGTGTCGTGTGTTGCGTGAGCGGTCTTTATAAGCATCTAAGAACTCAGAATGATGTGGACTGAGTCTAGTGAGGCTGCTTTTCAAATCTGATCATGGTTGGAAGCAACATCTTTGACCAATAAAGGCTTTACGAGTATAGGTGTTGGCCCTACCAAGCAAGCTTGCACCCTTCTCTTGCAAGCGAAAACCCCAAGGGCATCGCCGGTCGAGGCCAGTATAAGCCGTCGCCGTTTGGTGCTTGATCTGATTAGCGCAAGCCGCCCAAACGTTGCCGCTCCGAAAGGTGAACCGTCAGCGTTCTGCCCGGTTCTGCCGCGCCGTGGTCAGCCTCACCGCATCGGTTTGTGCCCCTGCTCCGCTGGAAGAAAGATGACCATTCCCAAACACTCCATGGATGCCATATTTGCCGATTAGTTGGGGTGGTTTCAGGGTCAATGTAGGCATAATATTTTATAATATTGCCATACATGGAGTGTTTGGAACTGGTTCTCCCTTACCTCTGGCATTTACATGTCCATCCTTCCGCATGTTTCCCCGCCTCACCGATACCGAGCACACCGCGAGTGTAGCTGCACAGCACCTGGAGAGGAAGCAAGCACCGGCACGGCGCCCCCCTGTGCAGTGATGTGAAGGGGGGCCAGTGGAGAGAGCGACTATCCCAGCAAACAGAGTTCAACAGCGTGACACACAACAAACTGCCCGTACGAACTTGGATGAAGCCCAGCCGGACAGGACCAACTGACAAGGGGCCAACAAATCTATAAACATCTGAGAGGGTCTTTGGGGTTGGTTTGGGGTGAACTCTGGTCCAGTTGCCATATCTTCTGCCAATCGGGCTCACACAACTCTGCGGCCTGCTGCGCTGGTCTTTTTGTGCAGCAAACTTGCGGAAGACGAGTCATAGCACTTTGAACATCAATCAAAGATTCTGAACCCAGCAATTACCTCCCCTGGATTGAAACTATGTGACAAATAGTTACGTATGGCCATAGTAGTGGCTGTACATCAACAATCGCACAACTTCCAAGTGGCCGTTCCGCGCTGCCATGCGCAAAGCTGTTGCCCCATGTGCATCTGCTGCACCTCTGTCAGCTCCGGCATCCAGCAACAATCGCACAACTCCAGAGTGGCCATTCATGGCAGCAAAATGCAAAGCCGTTGTCCCATTTGCATTGGCTGCATCTTTGTCAGCTCCAGCCTCGAGCAACAATCGCACAACTCCAGAGTGGCCATTCACGGCAGCAAAATGCAAAGGATGCAAAGCCGTTGTCCCATTTGCATTGGCTGCATCTTTGTCAGCTCCAGCCTCGAGCAACAATCGCACAACTCCAGAGTGGCCATTCACTGCAGCAAAATGCAAAGCCGTTTGACCTTGAAGGTCTGCTTTATCTTTGTCAACTCCAGCCTCCAGCAACAATCGAACAACTTCCTGGTCCAGCAACAATTGTACAACTTCCAGGTGGCCATTCATGGCAGCAAGATGCAACGCCGTTGCCCCATGACAGGCTGCATCTTTGTCAGCTCCAGCCTTGAGCAACAATCTCACAACTTCCAAGTGGCCTTTCAGGGCTGCAAAGAGCAATCCTGGTGCCTCAGCCTCTGCTGCTGCATGCGTGTCAGCTCCTGCCTCGAGCAACAATCGCACAACTTCCACGTGGCCTGTTTGGGCTGCAACGTCCAAAGCCGATACCTGGCCTGCATCTTTCTCAGCTCCAGCCTCCAGCAACAATCGAACAACGTCCTGGTGGCCATAATAAGCTACAGTATTCAAAGCCGTTGACCCATCAAATGTTGCTGCATCTTGGTCTGCCCCAGCATCAAGCAGCAATCCTAGAAGTTCCAACTGGTTGTTCTGGGCTGCAATGTGCAAAGCCGTTGCACCATTTACATCTGCTGCACCTGCGTCAGCTCTTGCCTCGAGCAACTTCCAAGTGGCCTTCCTTGGCAGCAATAGGGGGGGTAGCGCTGCGAGTGTCCCACCCTGTCACGGGTTAAGGACACGCAAAGCCACTCGCTAGGCAGAGTCCTCAGGGAGAGAATAAGAAGCAAACCTTCCCCGTTGGGGTCCAGTGGCTTTTGCCTTTCAAGGTGATCCACGCGATTCTCCCTGCAGGTCTCGAATAGTTGTTCTTCCATGGTCTCATCAGGGGCACACAAGGGCAGAATTACCACCCGTGCACTTGATAGTGTTCGTACAGGCAAGTCATCCTCCAATTCGCCAATCTCGTCCCTGAAGAGTCTTTGCTGAAACCTTGAGCACCCAACCTGAGCTGAAAGACGTCGCTTGAGGTCTCGAACAGCTTGCCTGCTTTCCACCATGTAATGCAGCTCGTCCTCATCAAGCTGAGCAACCACGTTGCCAGACACAGCCGTAACCTGCATCTCTGCGGTTTCAGAAGCGGGGGCGGGGCATTATTGGCTGGAGCCACAGAGCCACAGTGAAACATAAAGCTAAACTGATGTGACTGAGATTTCCTATTTCCAAGTACTCCATGCGTCTCCCCAGAATCCGGGCCCTCAAACGAAAGTTTTGAAGGCCCAAACCCCTGCCATGGAGGGCTCGAGGAATCTTAGGGCTGACAGATTGATATTGATACCTCACCTCACCCAACTCTGAGCTCCTCCTTGGGCTTTCGGAGACTTGGGTCTAAGGAACCTGGAAAAATACTCGACTCTCCTTAAACAAAACCAGGGAGATGTCAGCTCCATCCCACATCCCACCTTCACGGGATTCAGCTCATCACAGGAGAGTAGCAGCACCACGGCCTCAAATGGAGGGCTCATTGCAGGAGCTTCTCCGGAGGGCCTGAAGGGGACCCATAGGAACCCCCCCTTCAATAAGTTATAGCTGGGTAATAGCTGGGTATCATATGAACAAAACATGTGGCATCCTGCGGTTCAAACTTAAACGAGTCTTTAGATATCTTTAGCCGGTCTTTAGTTTTCTGGCCCAAAGGCTGGACTAGTCACTTACCACCCCTGCAAGCACGCCCAATCCGATCATCCAAAGTGTGAAACTGAAAATTTGCTAACAGAGCGGTCGCCCTCAACCCATGGTATGAGCCTGGAATCTCCCACCCATCATCTGACAGCCTGGCTGAATTTGGCCCGGGCACTATCAGCAGCCCCAATTCCCGCGCAGCGGTGCGCACCGTCCTCAGGCGAAGTCGCGGTGACGTCTTACGAATTACGCAGCAACAGTCTGGTTCTCAACGAAAAAGGCACTCGAATCCATGAATTGGAGTTCCTCCGAACGAACGCCAGCACTGCTTGTGAAACCCAAGCAGAACTGAAAGCCTCACTGGCTTAGCCGGTGCCTCCGAACCTCCTGCTTCAGCAGCTACTACGCGGGTGCCCACTCGTGCCAAACATGGTTTGCCAAACTGTTGGATTGGTTGTTTTGAGTGTCTTGGTTGGCTTTGAAGTATGTGCTCATGGAAGGTGGCTTCTGTATCTAATAAACACCACCCTTCCGCAAAGTCGAGCTTGGACGCATGTATTAGCTGCTCGAAGTACCACAGTTATCCATGTAGCAGCGACCATCAAATAAACTATAAGGGCAACTTACGTGACCAAACACTCCATTGGAATACTTACACCTCTATTGACGCCTGCAATCATCCGAACTGACCTGCAAATCTTCCACACCCCCCCCCCCCCCCCGCAGACAAACATAGACTCTGAAAAACATATTCAGACCATTTTCCTCTACAACCCAGTGATCTTGAGAGCTTCTGTAGTTGGGTAAGTCACCAAGTCGCACCAACATCCTCCACCATGCTGCTTTCGCAGTGACTCTCGTGGCCGCCTCGTTGCCTCCAAGCATCGGCAGCTCTCCTTGTTGCGCATCACCGTCGTCCGCTGGCTGCTGCATCGCTCCGGGGCGGCCTCTCAGGCGGTGCACCGCCGGGAGGCGCTGGGAGGGTGACAAGGTGTGGTCCTCACCAGTCCTACAAGAACGCAGTGGTGACTCCATGGGGGGATGCTGTGCGTAAACATTCTTGAATGGACCGTGTTGAAAAAGGTGCCACAGTCAGATATGTGGGAAGATCGAAGAATAGGCACGAAAACGTAGCTGTGGGTTGGGTGGCCATTCACCTGCTGTTGCGGCCAAATGCAGCAAGAAACGCAAAAGATGCTGGGAGGAGAACATCACACTGACATGGCAACAACACAACACGCAAGCATGTCTTGGATTTGCCTAAGCGAGCTGGAGCGATTGAGGAGATCACACTGTACGCGAAGCACCCCTATGCCTAGCTCCAAACAACACCAACTGACTGAGTCTCCTTGAGAAAGGCTCAGCAGACTTGGGTGGGGTGTCCCAAAAGGTGACCAATCCAGGAAAAGCGACCTTGAGTTGACCACTGAGTTGACCAAAATGGTCTCAGCCCGATCTGCCATCATGCTAATTACGGTTCTCCAAATCGGGCCAAACTTCTTCATCAACGCTGGGGTGTCCGTCACGCTGATCGATGACCTGATCATAGTCTTCCAAACCTGTATACTGCCAGTCCCTTAGTTGCTTTCGCTCTCTCCTAACCCCTAACCAAGAAAAACCGTCAACTTCATTCCCTCTTGCTTTTCTTCTGGGATCCGGGCCAAAACGCGCGAGCCCCGCGTGCGACTCCAACAGCTTGGGCGCTACGGCTACGAGCGAGGCGCAGCGTATACAGGGATACAGGCAGTTTCAGTGGGAGGCAATATTCCACTCTACTGAAGGTCTGTTGGTTGAATCGGTTCATGAGGTTACTAATCAGTTTACAATAGAAGCCCATGAAAGTCCAAACCGATAGAAAAGAACGATCTTTAGGTGACCGAGAAGGAATGTCCTCTATATATTGGTGGCACCAAGAAACCTTTAGACTTCTAGGGCTGTGTTGTACAACTAACCACGGGGAAAATCAATATTTCAGTTGAAGCCGCAAGGGGCAGTAGAGCCAGTGTCCTTGGCCTCCCGTAATCCATCACCTTTGACCCACTCAACCTGCCCTTTGTATCCTGTGCAGTTCGTGATTTGTTCAATCTTCTGTGATTCTTTCTGAAGTATTCCAACTCAATTGTGCCCTCGAGCTGCTGGAGGAAGGAGATCCAGCAATAAAACACTGCACACACCAAGTCTTACACTCAAGGTCTGTAAAGACATACCTAATTATACTATCCTACAATATGCTATGTACACACACTCTGACTCTGACTCATTAACATGGAAGTGGACATATCCTTTAATGAACGCTGGGCTTTCCACTTCCATGTGAGCGAGTGGGAATGTAATGCGAGTGGATTATGGAACATGATCCGGTTTACACTCCACCTCAGGTTCCATGGAAGCGGATGGCACCCCGTGTGTGCAAAGAAAAGTGCTCTGCCAAGGGACCATGCCATCCACTTCCGTGTTTGTAATTCAGAGAGTACCTACGCTGACCCCGTTTCGATGTTTGTAAGGGCACTTTAACCCTGAACGTCCAGGACCATGTTTAAAACGGTCTTTAGGTGATCCGAAAAAGGAATTCCTTTGGCTTGGGTGGTGGCCAACAACATAAGCTCTCGCTGGACTTCTATAGGGTAGTATTCACCACCACCACTAGGGTAGTTCGCTGGACTTCTAGGGGAGTATATACCTCCATTCACCTTCTAATCTCACCTCCATTCACCTAACCTCATTCTTCTCGGCTTTCATTCACCTTCTAATCTCCCAATCCTTTGCCGCTCCTCCGCTGCCTCGCCGAACACGGCAGGTCGCGGGTCCCGGCCCCACACACTGTTGGCCGGCTGAACGGCAGCGGAAAACGGGGACAGATCGTGGCCACGGATGTGGGAGCAATTCCTAACCTTGGCTCCTTGCAGGTGCCGCCTCCCTCCATTTCAGTTTGTGGCACGTGATTTGGCCGGGATCCCCAGCTAACCTTTCTCCTTCCCCCGCAAGAAAATGCCCCTACAAAGTCGCAATCCACCAAAGTCGGTGTGCTTCCGATGTTTGGTTTGATCAATCGGTCCACATGTATCCGGAAATCGCCAGTGACCTAGACGCTGCAACAATGAAGTAGACTGCCTGGCCCCTGGAAAGACATGAAAGACCATTTTCCTCTACAAACTAGGGGTTGTCTACTTCCATGCTGTTGGAGTGAGGGTATGTATACTTATGGATCCACTGCCACCCTCTGGGAATGGTGATTGGAGACTTCTTTATGCGCCAGGATGGTCCAGTCGTACCGAACCGAAGGTATTGGATCCCTAAGGGCCATACTGACCTTCAAAGTGATCTCTTTAGAGTCTCTAAGTGACCCTGTACATGCTTAAGTGGCTTCATCCGATCTCAAAAGGTCGAAGGTGGCTGAGCCTCCAAATGTCGACCTGGAAACCCGAGTTCCTTCGCCAGTAGTTCGCATGACCCACCGCTGCCACGCGCCACGTGTCAACCATGGCAGGGCATCAGCATGTTCCCCTCGCTGAAGGGTCCCACGTGGACGAAGGTCGCCGCCTGAAGATCGGTCGTTTTCAGCTGATCCTTGAAGGCGCGAACAAATGCGGACTTCTTTCGAATATGGGTTTCGTGCATGAGCTGCATGAGCTAAAGAAACTTGAAACCCTGTGGATATCTTTGGATGCATGCAGAGGCTGACGGCGTAAGACCACTGCCATGGCTCAAAGTCTGCTCACCTTCCACCATCTGACCTTTGGCAGTCTTGATTCAGCCTGACGAATACTAGATGGACCCCATGGACGTAGCAGAAACCATGGACATGCTGATCACTTGGACACCTTCAAAGCCCTTCAAAGCCCTTGTGTTCAAGTTCGGGTCACCCATCTGCAGGTCTTTTGGGGGGTCGTCTTTCTTTCGAAGGGTCCTAAAGGCAGGTCCATTCGGAAGTCCTGTCAGGTTCCCAGTTTCATGGCAAGATGACCCATCTGCGACGCATCAACCCAACAGGTTTCCACAATGAGTGGTGTCCAAAACCATCCGGAACCGTTCCCTCAATGCTTAAGTCCTACCTCAATTCTTTCACACCAGCACCGAACCCAAGTCCGGTCTCCGAAATGGAGATTTGTTAGGCCCTGTCTCAGGTTTCCTTTGGTGACCTGTGAAGTCGGTGCTGCTAGAGGTTTATGACCTTGACATGTTAGTCCACTGGCGCTCCAACCTGGGGGACCCTGGGCTATCCCATCCCGGACCGAGCGTCCGGTCTGTGCGCCGTTTCGCCGCCCGGGTGCCCCGGCGGCGAAGAGGAACCTCGGCGGTGTCGGTGCGGGGTCGGTGCGGGGTCGGAGGGAACGGAGCGCTCCACGTTGAGGTTCCTGGCACTGCACATTACGAACGGAGCGCTCGGGCGCGAACCGAACGGGGCGAACCACAAGCGGGACAAAGGAATTGTTTGATCATGCATTCCTTTGTCACGCTTGTGGTGGAATGGGAATTGGAAGTGGACGGGCCCCGGTTGGTAGAAGGGTGTCACCATCGTCTTTCAAGTGGCCAGGCAGTCCACTTTCCGGACCTACCAGGGAGTCTCCCTGAAACACCCCAGATCAAATGCTTTGGGATCCGACGGGTCGACGCAGCAGATCGGATCGACAGACAGGTCTATTTCCGACGAACACCATAGACCGAACGAATAGCTGCTGGTTCCTTATATAGTGGTAACTGGGATGCACTAGGATGTGCATATATACCCTACAGGTCAGTTCGACCGCCGTTTGACTGGAGTTGGTCATGCAAAAACACGACCGAATGAGGTAAAGGACAAGGTTTTGTTGCTTACAGGGATATCTATAACATTCTATAACATCAAAATGATACACAAAAGCATTGCACCCACCAACCAGAAAGCAACACTTAAAGTCAACAGCTTAAGCAACCAGCTGCCGGCCGACCAATCAAAAAAGCGACAGCCCCGGGTTATCAGCCGTTGACATCATAAATCTGGACTGGAGCTGATTCGGTGTTGGCCGCCAAGGACGGCCCCACCCACGACCCAAGGACTGAGTTGATGAAAACCATACGTGGTTGTACTGAGCCAGCTGGTGCAGCACCCGTGTCGGGATCGGTTTGCACATCCCACGTGGTGCTTTGCCGCCCTGCTGGGTCGGGATCATCTCTGGCAAGGGCTTTCGCTCCTCCTCCACTTGCCGAATCCTGGCCCGCAGCCCGTGCAGATGGTCAACGATCCAATTACGCCTAAACCATCCACCTGTTTATAGACCCCTGAAATCGCCCAAGGTTGGCAAAGATGACATACATGGAGGGTCTGAGTGGTAGACGCCAAAGCATGGGGAGAAAACATTAGAATTATAAAAAACTTTCATATGGTAAGGCCAGAATCCTTGATTTAAAAAAAAAAGTCCCAAAAAAAAAAGTCAAAAAAAGTCAACTGGAAAAGTCAAAGTCAAAAAAAAATCAAATTGAAAAGTCAAAAACAAAGGCAAAAAAAAACAAAACAGTAAAAAAACAATCAAAAATAAATAAAAAGAAACAAAAATGTCCAGTCAAGCGACTCAGGAGCAAAAGAAAGCCGGCATATATATATATATGGAAAACACAGGCAAAGAGGACAACAACATTGAACTAAACTAGTAACAAGCTCATAAGTCAGCCAAGGCAAATTGCAGCCTTTTTGCTTATGGCTTATGGCTTTCAATCTATTAAAAATTCTAGAACCTTTTTGGTTGTTCAACTTTCACCTTTTCCAGCCCCAAGCCAGCCCCAACCCCCTACCCCAGAGTCGCAGGACCCCTACTGTCCCAGGGTCTCTTCAGCCCCAAGCCAGCCCTGTCCCTGGTGGCCCTGGTAGCCACCCCAGAGTCCCAAGTACCCAGCCCTGTCCGGCCCCAGAGAATTGACTTTTTTTCGACTTTTTTTAGACTTTTTTTTTGACTTTTTGTTGCCTCCAGTAATCCGCCAAGGCTAGGATCCGCGCTTGGTTTTCACATTTGACTTTTTTTAACTTTTTCCACTGTTTTTTTTGTTTTACTTTTTTTACTTTTTCCACTTTTGACTTTTTGTGTCTTTTTTCTTTTTTTGACATTTTTTTGACTTTTTGTTGCCTCCAGTAATCTGCCAAGGCTAGGATCCGCACATTTGACTTTTTTTGACTTTTTTTTGACTTTTTTTGGACTTTTTTTGCCGGCCCAGCCCCGCATGCCCCAGCCCGCCTGTAGCCTGCCTGAGCTCGACCTCAACCTGACCCCTCCGCCAGGAGCCAGCCGCAGCCAGCCCAACGCCTGGCCCTGGCAGCAACCTGCCCCAAAATTTGAGCAGCAGCTGGCTTGGGGCTGAAGAGACCCTGGGACAGTGGCTGGGCTGGGTAGGGATCCTGCGACTCTGGGGTAGGGGGTTGGGGCTGGCTTGGGGCTGGAAAAGGTGAAAGTTGAACAACCAAAAAGGTTCTAGAATTTTTAATAGACTGAAAGCC